AGCAGGCCTAGGAAAGAGGGATTATTGCATGGATACTTAGGGTAAAAAATAACTTAGATTGAAGTTTATGTTTTCCAAGATACTAATTACTAAAATCACAATCAAGGAGATGGGCATACAATTCTKTCTAAGAGAGAAACTCTGAGATCCTGAATGTGAATGTATTGGGATAAAGGTATTAATAACTTTCAGACTCTCACCTGACTTYGGCACCCCACAGACTCCACAGACAGTGACAGGCCCCCTCATTGTCAGGACATTGCAGTCATATGCTTTTGTCTGACTGCAGAGTTGTCATGTTTTGGGACAGCTTTGAGACTATGCAGGCAGGGCCAGGAGTTGGACTCAAAGGGTTCTTTCCAACTCAGCAAATTCTGTGATTTTTTGGCTGTTGATTGAGAACTCTTTCTTTACTATGAGCTAAGCACATGTCCAGCTAATGCTTAGGTCAKATCTTTATGACTGTCCATCTTGTGTATGTGGAAGCTCCATTCATCTTTAGTGTAAGCCAGGCCAAGAAGGCTGCTCAGATAAAACCATTGCTTTCCTATGGCCCTGACACAGCAGCAGAGGTGGATCAAGGGTGTTGATGGTGGTGAAATCCCTGCTGAACCTCTCACAACACACACAGACCCTGGCAATGCTTATGAAACGTGGCACTGTGACACCTCATAAGCAGAAAGCTTCTCCCCTAGGCCTGAACTGTTCARTGTCATCTCACTTGAAATATGAGAACAGAGTCTGCTGAGGTGGCTGTTGATTAGTGTGAAGCACAGTTAGGTGTCTTTCCCCATCTTTTCTAGAAGAGCCCTCTGAGGATATAAAGACTTGCAAAAGCTTTTCTATCCAGTCATGTATGAGCTAATTTTTTAATGTTGTTAGAGCTGTCTTCTTCCATTTCTGCATCTATCTGTTATGTTAATAGAGAGTGGTACTTTAAGTTATATTAAATTTTCAAAAGTCTATTCTAGCCTCTTGTTCTGTTGCTGCCCTTGTAATTTATCATATGYGAGTAGATTGCTGTCTGCTAGTAGTTTGCTGGTAAGGATTGAGATTTCCAGATTTTCATGATTTGAAATGTTTTGTCTGATTCCTTTCTCCTTTTTTGATGTTCTCTGCTAACATTGATGACTAAGGCAGCTTTGGAGAGAAAACTGTCCCCATTATCTGCAGCATGCTACAGTTTTTTACTCTTGTTTTAAAAACCACTGTGTATTGGATTTTTTAATTCCTTCCCAGGTAGCCCTTGCTTGCATTTTTTAAATTCCCTGTGGATTGCTTTTATTAATTTCTGTGGCCATAGTTTATCCATCTTCGGGGGAGAGTGGGAAGGAGACTGCCATTAACATATGCAAGCCTGTGAGGGGGAAATTTCCCATTAACTGAATCATACATTGCAATTATCGTATCTGCCAGGTTGTCAGTGGCCTAAGCTCAGTAATCAGTGTCATAATCTTTGCTGCTGCTGYTACCCTTGTTGAGAATTACTGATGTTAGGTGTGAGGACCTGAACATTGTGTTGCCAGCTAAATTGTATTCAAGAGATTCCARCACTCTTTTGAGGAATGGGCAAAGGTTTGATACAGGGGCTAAGATTTATTGGAGCCAAGCACAGCTCAAACACATAAAATGCGTCAGGAAGGGAATTAAGGGATAAGTACTGATTCAAAGGTGCTTGCTCTGTGCTCATTACAGTGATATCACTTAGCCTGTACTGGTCATTGGCAAAGTTTCATCCTTTGTTGTGATATGGTAAAAAGAGCACAACATGCCTATCACATCMGCTACATCATGCTTTTCTCACTGTCCTATTCTGTATGTTCCCTTTCTAGCCCTATCTCTGCACTCACTGCAACATTTCTTTTTAACCACCCCAGTAGATTGCACATACGAGACAATGCTTTAGCAAGCCTTTGTGTTGCTGGTACTCCAGTGAACCCTACATTGGGCAGCCACAGAACACAGTCCCTCATCAGACAAATGGTTCCATTGAAGCTGGAACAAATAAAATATAATTTCCTATCAATTTGTGTCTTGCATTAACCTCATAACACCTCCCTCGCATGGGACTCTTATAGGGTGCGTTTCATTTGCACAGAATCTGTAAAGATTTCCAACTTTTTGCCAGTCATACAGCAGTGTTTTACTGGGCAGGAATGAGTGAGAATTAACAGTTCTGCATGTGTGTGTGTGTTGGGACAGTGGGAAGAATAGAGAAGGTATGCATTCCTAAGAGGCTGTTTTACAATTATGTTTTGCAATAATGTTTCCCTGATTTGCATAGGGAAAAATGGATATCTATAGGCCTTATGGACACCCAGAAATTCTTACTGAAAAATTTGTAGACCTATATAGTCAGAAAATACAGGTCTTGATAATAGCTGAGCTGGGATGTTTCAGGACTTGTGCATATCATATGGATATGAGTAAGTCTGTACTCATGTAAGTGTAAATGTACACAAAGGAATCAGGACAACAGTTTCTGTMTAAAATAGGGCAGCTGCCATTACTTGGAAACCAAAGAATATCTTGAAATGCCTACTTGGCTTTGAAAGTTATTCCYAGGGAATTCAGAAGTCTGCACAGAAACAGAGAAACCAGCTGAAGGAAGAAAAGCAAAGAAAATAATCTGAGATGAAAGCATCTATCCCCTTCTTACAACTTTTGTCACAGAAAAGGTGACTGATAGTTCACAGAAAAGGCATGGAACTCCTTACAATGCTGTTCAAAACATCTTCCAGGTGATTAGTGCTGTCTGTCATGACAGTTTATTTCTTGCATCTCTTGAAATATGAATTATCCTGAAAAAAATCCACATCAGAGGATGTATTCATTTCTACTCAGAACTCTACTTTGCCAGACATTTAGATTCTTGATGTGGAAGAAAAACAGGAATTGACTTCTTAGATAGTTCTTTTAAGAGTGAAATATTTAAAAAAAAAACAAAAAAAACTCCCCAAATTGTGAAAAGTGGAGGGAGAAAGTGCCCTAAAATGTCCTCTTACTGTCTGCATTCCTATAATTACTGAATCAGTTTCTTCTTTTGGTTTGTCTTGTTTCAGGCTCTACTGCAAAGAAGGCTGTTTGTGTGAACTCTCRCTTCGTATTATTAGCACAATGATGAAGAGGTTGACAGGTTCTCTTCTCTTGCCTGAAGCTGCTAGCTAGTCAGACTGGCTGATGCTCTCTCTGTAATTTTTTCTTGTCATATRTTCTTGTTTCCTGTGGTTTTTACTTCTTTGCTACATGACTGTCACACAGATGAAAAGCAGCCAAAGGGAAATAGTAAAAAATTCAATCAGTAGTGATAAATAATATAACTTCAAGAAGAAAATAATGAAATTGGTGAGAAGTCCAGCATACATCAGACTACTAAAATGTTTGGGAGTATCTTATCAAAATTAGTAGTCAAGATTGAGGCATGTGATCATGAAAGCAAAAAATACAAATGAAATAGGGACTTATTCAAAAGGGRATCTTTTCTATCGCAGTTCACAGTAGGACTTTGACTCTCAAGGTACCCAAGTTGGCAACTTTGTTCAAGATGAAATAGCAAGGACTATTACAATATCTGACAAAAACAAAAATTACAGTTCAGTAGTGATTGGTATGTATAGTGAGGTATAAATGTAAGGAATAAATAGACAAAAGAATTTAAMCATAGCAGGACAACTTCCTGTAATATACCACTGTGAAGTCAATAGCAAATTCAAAGTATAAATTTTAATATAGTTAAACTACATCTGGAATAAAAGAAATGTCAGTACCACTCAAGGATACCCAAAGATTTAAATAGCCAAACTATGATGAAAACCAATAGTATTTAATAAATTAATTTCCATATTTTCCAAAATGGGGGATACACTCGTGTCAGAATAACAAAGTGCTCTCCAGCCCTTTTACAATTCAAAAGCTCAAAAGAGAGCAATATTTGAGATCAGAAACCCAAGTTATCTTTGCCCAGAACTCTTAGAAGATTTAGTAAATGCTCTTTTTAGATCTGAGAGTCCTGGTAAGTAACAGCTTTAAAATTAACCAGTAGTGTTTCCTGCAATCTGACAAGGCCAAGAGCATCTTTGGGTGGGTCTGACTATTGGCCACAACTGAGCAGGGGGTTGAGTGCTGCCGTCCTTCTGCTGAGTTCAGCACGGGTGACATCTGCAGTGTGTGTCTGCTTTGGGGTACACGAAAGGCACACTGAAGGGGGTTTGTGAAGGGCCACCAGGACAATATGATGTGAAAGGAGAGGTTGGAACAAGTGTTTTTGTTCAGCCTTATAAAGGCTAAAGGGAGATCCAGTTGCTGCCTGTAGCAGTTTWTTGGGAGGTTACAGAGGAAGTGCAGCCAGACTTCTCAGAGCTGCACAGAGAAGAATGGGAGGTTCAGCACAGGGAGCTCCAGTGCGGTGTGAGGAAAAATTATTTCTGTGAGAATGGTCAAACATTGAAAGAGTTTTCTGGACAGGGAGTGGATATCCATCCCTGAAGATACACAAAACAACACAGATCTGAACAACCTGTTCTAACTGGGACTTAATTGGGTAAATGAGCTTTGGATGTTCCKTAAACCAGTGTGATTTCATGGTTCTACAATTAATTTAAAAAAAAAAAAAAGAGAGATTATCAGAGGTACCCTAGAATTATAGAAGAGCCCTCCAGTTAGAAACTAATCTGGGATTCATGTCATTTACTGAGTTACATATTGATTAGTCAATCACACAGGAATCCCAGGCAAAAAGTAATAATTGTAAATGGATACAGTGAACCAGCAGCAWACCACCTGAGTGTCAGAAACAATGAAGACTTGAAAACCAAGCCCTGAAGACTTCTGAGATCTGATGTCTAATAAAAGTAGAGCTCATGGGCACTTTAAAATGTCTTTTTTCTTTTTATGCCATTTGAAAAAAAAACAACCCAAAAAAACCCCCCAGAAACATGAAATCTCTGAAATCTCTTCCTCCTTGCCAAATAGGTTTGAAATTGTTGGTCAGTTCACAGTACCTTTCATGGGATCAATCAACAAGATAGCAAATACATAGAGTTTTATTTCAGTAGGAAACCAGGCTAAAAATAAAAGGGTGAAAATTTAATTAAGACCAGAAACCTAATATTATGAAAAGAAGTCTTGTCAAGGAAACATGATTTCATTCATTCATATCATTAGAACTGGGATTCATAAAACTAAAAACAAAGAACAAAAGTATTTAGGTGCTTTATTAGTCACTTGTAACACCTTGACTGCMAAAAATATTATTATGAAGTATTAGTAAAGAGATTTTTTAAAGGGATTAAGAACTATCTTGTTGAATAGAACTGAAAAATGAGCWGTCAGTGGGGAGTCACAGCTGCATRGAAGCTCAGCTAGYAGGGTTCCTTAGTATTAACTTGTTTCAATCAATGACTGAAGGTGAATATAAAATCACTGRTAAAAAGCTAAGGTAATTCAAATAGAAGCAGGGCATGCATTTGCACCATTAGGAAGCACAGTCCCCTGTGGAACAAACTAAGGGAAGCAGCAATGTTTAATCCCATGATGTCTTCAAATCAAAGGAAAAAAAGACTCTGCTTGGGTGCTTTTGTGTTCAGGCTGTTGACTTAGTTCAGACAGGGTGAGTGAGTAGTATCCTATAATCTTTTCCCTCCAAGAGTTGAAATCAGATTATTTAACAGTTCTTTCTATGCTGGAAACCCTAGTTTTTGAAAATAGTGACAGAAAAAAGTCATTGATGAGGCCAAAAAGATAAAAAMTGAAAGAGAAAAAAATATTAGGGAAACAAAGAAGACCAGTGATTAAAACCCATGGTAATTCTTGCCTAATTTTTCATTAGTAAAATGAATATTGTTTAAAATGCWTCTTSAGCTAGGACTGGGCTTGTTGGGTATTAGAGAAAGGTTMTTGACCCAGAGCATGGATGGGCACTGGAACAGGGTCCCCAGGGCAGTGGTCACAGCACCAAGGCTGACAGAGCTCAAGTGTTTGGATGGTGCCCTCATTCACACTGTGTGACTCTTGGGGATCACAGTGCAGGAACAGGAGTTGAACTTGATGATCTTTGTAGGTCTCTCAACTCAGAAGATTCTGTGATTCTTCCTTCTGAAAAGTAAGCTTGAAAAAATGCAATAATTTCAAAGACAGAACATTCATGCAGCCAATAAAACCTATCATAATGTCATTTTTTATACACTAGTGTTATGCAGTAGTTCAGGCTTTCAGTAGKTTCCTGACAAACATTTCAAGGGCTTCTAGTAGCAAACAAGAGTTTTTCAGGTACCTTTCGGAATACAATGACTGTAAAAATGACATTGTGTTGCTAATGTCTCTCTGGCTGTTCACATAGTCTTTCCCCACCCCCACTCCTTCCTTACTAGMAATCCTAAAAAGCAATGAAAATAGAAATGTGTTCTTTGGATTGTGTAATAGGGGTTCCAAACAGAAGTGAGCACTTAAACATCTGCATACAGATTACAGGCTTATTGCTCCTTTGTGCAYACTTATGGCCATTAGTAGCTTCGCACCCTCATACATGTATTATTTTTAGAAACAACTGCGTTGAAAATTTAAAAACTTTCTCACTATTACACTCTTGTTTTGTTCATTGTAATACTAATTTTAAGTCTGGGTTAGCATTTTCCAGCTGTGTCACATCCAATTTGTTGGTAGAAGCCCAGTTTTCTTTGAAAGAGAACTACAAAATCCTAAACATTTATTTAACCTTGTGTGATGCCTTTTTACTTATTAAAAGCTGTGTTTTGACCTAGACTGTTAATTCTCTATCCAGTGGTCAGTAACTAGCCTCACACAAATACCACAGCTCACATTGGTCTTTTCAAAACCACTCCAATGTCCACGTGCCC